ACACTAACGTGACGTTTAGGCGGTTCGTTTAACTATTATACGTGATGTACGTTTTTTTGGGGGGGATAATGAAAGTGTTCCGAAACGCGACATTAATTTCTTGACGACCTTATACATATTTTGTCAATGATTATCGACTACATTAGAACTACTGTTTCAAATTTTGTAAATATTTTCACTAGAGGGCCACGTGACTATCGCCATTGTTTAAAAAATAGTACATGATTTTTTTTGCCTCAGATCGGGCTAGTATTCCTCCAAGAGTTATAATTATTTTGTCACTAATTATCGACGACAGAATTATTTGTACATTTGGAAAATATTCTCACTAGAGGGCCACATGACTAAAAGTATCACTTACGCGAAAGAGTAGATAACGAAATGTTTGTGTCAGCGCCGGTAGGGGAGTTCACGGTTATTGTCATAAAGTACGGACTACAAACTCACTCTGGAGAACTGTAAGAACACTAGCGTCCTCTAACCAAGTATTAACGACAAGAAATTATATCTCTAGTTATATAGGCATTATTGAATCAAGTGGCTGGATAAAATTAAAAATCCGCCATAAAATAAAAAAATGACCACCATGTTTTTTGTAAAAAATGTTATCTTTTACATTAAGATTAATGTTGCTTAATTTTATTGTTTGTAACATTGTGACTAATTCTTAACCCAGACACCTGCCGAATACGAGGCCCAGTATAACAAAGCCAGAAGGGGGCAGTACAGTCGATTTCACGGCTATGCCTATGACGGAATCTGGGCGATAGCACTGGCCATTCAGAAGGTCCGGCAGAAGCTCTTGTCCAAAGAAAGTTCCAGAAGTTTTGAAATGTTCGAATATAAAGATCCCACGTGGGTCCATTTATTTCGGGAAGCCTTTAACAGGACAGCGTTCATCGGAGTTACGGTAATTACGATAGATAGATAGTTACGGTAATTACGATAGATAGATAGTTACGGTAATTACGATAGATAGATAGTTACGGTAATTACGATAGATAGATAGTTACGGTAATTACGACAGATAGATAGTTACGGTAATTACGATAGACAGATAGATAGTTACGGTAATTACGATAGACAGATAGATAGTTACGGTAATTACGATAGACAGATAGATAGTTACGGTAATTACGATAGACAGATAGATAGTTACGGTAATTACGATAGACAGATAGATAGTTACGGTAATTACGATAGACAGATAGATAGTTACGGTAATTACGATAGATAGATAGATACGGTAATTACGATGGATAGATACGGTAATTACGATAGATAGATAGTTACGGTAATTACGATGGATAGATACGGTAATTACGACGGATAGATACGGTAATTACGACAGATAGATACGGTAATTACGACAGATAGATAGTTACGGTAATTACGACAGATAGATAGTTACGGTAATTACGATAGATAGATAGATAGTTACGGTAATTACGATGGATAGATAAACAGATTTCATTTGTTTGTTGGACGATTAGTTACTCTAGTTGTTCCTAGTGATAGACTAAAGGAAAGGATGTTAGCAGCATCGCCAACTCTTAGACTATCTGATCAGGCTGTAAAGTGGGGCCAACTCTTAGACTATCTGATCAGGCTGTAAAGTGGGGCCAAATCTTAGACTATCTGATCAGTCTGTAAAGTGGGGGCCAACTCTTAGACTATCTGATCAGTCTGTAAAGTGGGGGCCAACTCTTAGACTAT